GGCTCCCCATCATTTTGTAGTATGTGGTAGAGAATATGTGCCAACACTCAAATATCCTTACCTGAGAAACCTATCAGGAAAAGTTTGTTGAAAGAAAAGAACAAGAGAACAGAAGAAATGTTTGAGAAAAAATGAGGTCTAAAAGAGAAATGTCATGGTAAGGCATAAGAACACTCTGCTACAACTCCATGAGCACAGTGTAGAATGGAAGATAAAAAAGAAGAAAAAAAAACACCTCAAAGAAACCTAAATGAAAAAAAGTGCAAAATGAAAAGAAAGCAAAGAAAAAAAAATAGCCCCTCAAAAACCCCTAAAATTGACAACAAAATGAAGAGAACAAAAAAAAGAAAACTGAGAAAAACTTAGAACGTTTATAAAAAAAAAACAAAAAAAAAACAAATGTAGAACTAAACCAAGGAAAATAAACAAAAAAGACAAGCCCAAACCAATGTCACAAAACGAAAAAGGGAAAAAAATACATCACTGGACACACAAATGACCAACCAACTAAAACAAACTAAGAGTTCTTCCAAGCAAAACAAACAAATGTAAATCAAAACAAGATTACAAAAAAACAGATGACTGTCCAAAAGATCCCATGGCTTACAATCAATACAATTGCTTATCCCATGGGATTGGGGAGCAGTTGTGAAAGAGAAAAAAGAAAGTAAAAGAAAAATCCAATCCAGAAAACAATGTCAACTTAAGATCAACCAAAAAAAAAGCAGAAAAAGAGAAAAACAAAGTTCAAGGAAAAGCTGACTGTCCATTGAGTCTCAAGGATTATAATCAGTCAGACTGAACATCCATGAGATTTGGGACAGTGCTGGGAAAAAGGAAAAGGAAATAAGACAAAAAAGAAACAAACACAAATTAAACAATAACCGACTACCAAACTGACCAACCAATAACCAACCTAAGATAATAACCAATTCAACAACTAACACCAACAGAATGCACAATTTAGACAAAAATAAAAGTAAAATTGCTTAAAAACTCTTCCTAACAACCTATCTAGTCTCTAAAAAAGCAAACAAGAAAATCACAAAAATTAAAAAAGGCAAACAAATTGATACTGAAAGGAAATAAAGCACACTGTTGAAGGTTGACTGGTTTTGCAGAACACAAACTAAAAGCATGTAGCAGGCTCTCTGCCAAAAGATGGAATTCCATGACATTGAATAGACAGCATGAAAAAAGTGCAAAAATGCAAGAAAAAGAGTGACATGTGATTAAACAAATGAATGGAAAGCACAAACTAAAGAAAAAAGAAAGATCCTCCTCCAACCAAAGTTACTTCCCTTACACATTCTCTACCACATACAAAAAGCCAACACTTAATGACCTGACCTAACCCTACAA